TTCATAACATGTATATACAGTGGTGTGCAAATGCCGACCATTCTGCTATGAGGAATTAATGACTAGCACCAGCATAGTAACTCAAAAAAAAAAAAACCTATGAATTCCAATATTCAATCATTGGTGTACAATCATTATTATATACTTTATAATACACTGCGCATCTATGATTAATTTAGATGAGCCCCCACCCCACCCATCAGAGAACATGGTGAGCACACCAATAAGATACAATAAATATGAGATATATAATAGAAATCAGATGTGGTCAGATGCATTGGGGAGATGGTGTGCCACACATTAGTGTAAAACCACCTCAGAATATCACATGTGTGAACACACTATGTGGGAAATTAATTGTGAACAATGCACTGATGTGTGTAAGAATATGTCACATCCTCGGCATGCAAATGACACTGGAATGAGACAATGGTAAATTTACTGACGTAACCCAAACACATTTTTCTTCGAGAACATGCATACGCCACACCGTATAGTGTTCAATACGAGTCCCACATGGCTGATACAACACTTATAAAATACAAAGTTTGTTCTTGTGAAGTTTGAATGATACCTGGGTAACAGCGACATTTAACAAAGTTATGTGTAAATAGTGTTGAGCAATAAATCGTATGATACATCCATGTTGCACCACTGCCTCTCCCCCATTAGTCAGATTGCAATGGAATAAAAGATGGAATACAGAATAAATTTTAGCCCTACCCGTCCATGTACACGTCTCAGATTTGTTGCACTAATCAAGTACTGAATACATTAATTACATTAAGACATTGCTTACCAAATCCGTTATATACTAGTACCACTTATATATCTGTGGTGGCTTCCAGCAGGCCATATATTAAAGCATCGCAGTCTTGTGTACAGCAGATATTTTAATAAACCTGGGCTGAGCTCCCAAGTAAACCCCCCCCCCCCCATCCCATATATTACTTTAATATACAATAAAAATTGGCAAATTCTAACAATTCCTGCTGTCTGGATAGTTAGAAAAGTTGACGATCTTAGAAAAAAAATATCTTTGAAATCTGAGACAGGCATCAAATCTGAGAGGAACTTTTTCAGTTAAAAGGCTTTTCTATTTATTTGACTAAATGTTTAACTGAGATAATTTTGAATAGTCTACATGGTGAGAATTTAATGTAATTTCCTTTATTCATTTTCTTATGCAGGCAGACAGGGATACCGATGAATATTTAACCAGGGATTCACTACCACAGTGATTCATCTTCAGTGAGCAGATTTCAGAAAAACAAAATTAATTTATAGAACCTTTCACGTGAACAAAACTCCTCAGACTGAAGCTTCAATGCAGCACTTGAGAAATATCATACATACGGTATTAGTGGTAAATAAAATTTTCTATACATACACTGAATTCAGAAATACACTAAATTTACATTTCTTCATTCATCTAAAATTAATATTAAAAAAAATACAATAAAATAATTTGCAATTATAGATAAATCAACTGATTTGCTCAAACTTGCATGTTATTTTGACAGACAACAGACCTTATTCGTAAATGGTTGCCTAGATCTTGTTGAGTGCGAAAGCCAGGATACTACCGGTAGATGCAAACAGAAAGATGAACATAAATCAACTGAGTATGTCTTATCAGTCTTTACCACAGGTGAATTAGAAAATAAATATTCTTTTAATAATTACATTGCTAAACACATTTCATCACAAATTTATCATGATGAACGTTCCATGAAAAGCATCAGTATGACCTTTACGCCATTGTAATCTAGGGAAGATCTACTTTTCTGTGTTTGGTCATGTTTCCGTGGCATTTGTTTGAGTTTTTTACATAATCTTATTTTATGATCTAATACTGAACTATAAATAATAAAACATATTTGAAAAAAAATGTATACCCGGTAATACATTTTAGTTGGGCGTAAATAGTCACTGGTGGCAAAGACTGATTTATGGGGTATGCAAACTTGTCTACTACGATGATGTCAGTCAATGGGGGTGAATGACAAACATCCTTCATAAATGCACAAACACCAAGCCTGTTCTTGAAACCCCATAGAAATGTATGCAATATGATAATTAAGGGTATTCATCATTAAACACAATTTCATGAAAGTTGCTGTGACTCCCTGATTAAAGAATCAAGGTGAAATGTTACTAGAGAATTTTGTTATTTTGGCCCAATTCTGAAAATTTGCTAAAAATAATTATATCTTGTTTAAATTTAGCATTCACAGTATTTGGGATCACTATTTTTCAGTATGCAATATTCTGTAAATTTTATACAATTGAATACATATTTTGTTTAATAAGAACTAAACTTCAGTCAAGCTTACTAGCATACTGAAATAAATATACTTTGGGTTTAAAAAAAAAATTTCCAGGATTAAGTTCCAGATATACCAGTAATGTACAACTGTATACACAAAAAAACAAATGCATATGTTACAAGAGCACTTGAGGGCGTGATTTACAGTGCAGAGGTGTGTTTGAGAAGTTCTTGATGAGAGAATTACCATTGTAAGGGGAAACTAAGATTTATCTTGGGAAAAAGTCAGTTACAACCCCCTCTAAGTCAATTCCTTCATCTTGTGCCTGATTATCGTGTCCCTCCTCCGCCTCCACGGCAACAGCACTTTCATTGCCAATGATTGCATCTTCATCTGCCTCGGCATTGTCATCTCCCTCAGGGTTCTCTCCATCATTGTCGCCTTCTTGCCATGGAGACTCGATGAAATGATTTCTTTTTATGTGTGTTTTCAAGTTACCTATGAACGTGACAAGAGGTAAATTATCAGAGAATAATCATACAGGTAGTGAGTATTGTGATAATGGGTCAGGTTTTTTCAACCAACCAATCAACAGCAATGTACTTAGTCAGGTGATGCACAGGAACCAATCCCATGCTAGACAGCCTAATTGGAAGGAAGAAAGGTAAGGGGCAGTCTCTCATTTAGAAAATGAGCGACTGTTGGAAAGGTGTGAAATGAATTAATGTTTTACCAGCTATATTAGAGATGGACCTAATATGTAATTTGTTTTTATAAATGGTCTATAAGCTTAAATCACCAATAGGTAAACTCTGGCCGTGAATTTGCATTGTACACATGGACAGCAATATATCAGTTATTAGACCATTTTCCGTTCCCTACAAAATGCCACGTTATGTGTGAAATCGAAACAGACAAAAGTCATAGCATTGTAGTGGTGTCTACAAGGGATTCGCAAACACAACAATTTGTTTGGGGTATTTCCAGGTTTAATAATATGCTATACACTATCCGAGATGGTCAATATTGATAAAGTAAAAGTATCTCAATGCCATGTTCCCCTCTGCCTCTGTGGAAGACGTTTGGTTCACGCTTTTCATACATAACGCGAGATCTTGCAGTGAATAGAGAATCACCTATTGGCTAATAATATAGCTGTGTTGTGAGCAATGTTGCCTCGAAATCTGATAATGATGGACTGGCACACCGAAAACAACATAGTATTGTCATCAGCCAATTAGCTGTCGATAATGCTGGTTAGGTGTACAAAACAATTTTGCATCACAGTAAACATTGCATACTTTAATCTTCTAGTATTAAATTATATTATTATACATCTGTCATCGTAACGCCAAAAGTTACAGCGTGTCGTAATTTTGCGGTATTTTCATCCTACCATATAAGGAAATGTGAATTCCAAATATGGAATGAATATATGCGAAAAACATCCTCTTATAATAAAAACAAACATGGGTTTGACCGGACTCCATACAAAGAAGTTTGCTGATTCTGTTCTAAATATTTTAGATTTCGGCATTCCCATGATGTATTCTTGGTAGGAAAAGATGTATAATAATAAGGTTATTACGAAGATACTTCAAAGTATGCACTCAGACAGTAGGCTGTGCGTCGGTCGATACTCTCGCTGTACTGTCTTCATGCATACTTTGAGGTATCTTTGTAATAACCTTATAATCTAATTTTATAAAATTAAAATACCAACCTTTTTGTGAGAATGCCAGTTCACAATATGAACATTTATATGGTCTTTCTCCAGTATGTTTCTTCAGATGAACTTGGAGGGCGTTCTTCTGATTGAAAGCCTTATCACATTCTGGACATGGGAAAGGTCGTTCACCTAAAAACAACAAACAAATGTGACTGCATTTGTTCACTGCTTGGACACGTTTTTTTCCCTCAAATTGTATCCATAGAAATATACATGTAGTTTTGTAATTTGAATACACATATTTCTCTTACTGTGGTAAAGCAGACCTTGATATTACACTTGCTATGCTTAAAATGAAGGGCAGAGGGATATGATATTATGATATATATATAATTAATATAATATATATATATATATATAATATAATTTTATTCAACACGAATCTACTACAGAGAGTAATTTTATGGTTGTAAAACAAAAACAGAAATAATACTTCACACAACTAATATCACAAATAGCACATTAAACATAAGCTAATGTTATTGTTTAGTACAAAGCAAGACGGAAGTACAGTTCAATCCACCAGAATCACGACTAAAATATTGAATACATGTAACTAAGAATGGAGGAAAATATACATGAAAATTAGTATAACAATAAAACTACTAAGCTACTAAATATGCCATTGCATTAAAACTACCTGCAGACTAATTTGATGGTATGTCATGCAATTCGGGTATTCACTGAGATTAGAAATGCAACAACAATTTAAAATGAAATGTATGTATTTCTATTGAAAAACAATACATAATAGACTATTTTAGCAGAATACAAACCTGGTTTTCACACAGCAATTCTCAAATATATTCTACAATAATATTTTTCATGCTAAGAAGCATCAGAAGTAATCGCTTATTTTACCAGCAAGGATAAAATACAGAATTTTGAGGATTTAACAATACCTAGGCAACAAGTAAAGGGAGGTTGGTGGTTTTGTCAAAGAACTAGAATTGATATTATATTTAAAGGGTGGTGATCTTTGCGAAATGTGCTTACAATTTTTACACATGTTGCATGGGACCCACATAAAACATGACATGGTGTAACAACCACAGCCAATGACATTAACCTTTTCACCACCAGTTCCTTCTTTTCATCACAAATTTGACTCAAATTTTGTCTGTTGGCTTCAAAAGTAGGGTTGATTTTCAGAAATATTGAAGAATATTATAAGAAAAAAAAGCAGAAAAATTTGGGTGAGTAAGTCTGGTGGTGAAAAGGTTAAAGAGACAGTGTCGTGACCATCCTACTTACCAGTATGTATTCGTACATGTCTTTCCAACTGACTTGGTTTGGAAAATGCTTTACCACATATCTGACATGCATGAGGCGTGGGTCTGGTACGACTTGTTGGTGGACCAGGTTCATGAGTTAGCATGTGTTCCTTGAGATGACCAGCTCTTTTGAACGCTTTACTGCACAAATTACAGGTGTAGGGTCTCTCCTCCAAATGCTGTTCCTTGTAATGTCTCTTTAGCTGTCCTGGTTGAGAAAACACCTACAGAGAAACAGCACAGAGAGCATTGACATTTGGAAAGACATCCCTACCCAATTATTGTTACAATCTTTTCAATATCCAACATTACAACTCTTTGTTTATTTCAAACCAGACTGACATAATTTCCTATTGAATACAAGTCTTGTTCAAAATTGTTGAACAAATAAGACAAAGGTGATGCAGGTTTACCTTGTGGAAAGATGCAAAAAATGATTTTGATATTGCAAAAATAAGGATTCTCGTAACACTTTATAATTGTGGGTTTGATTTAAAGAGGCTGTAGCCACATTGCTCTGCAGTAAATATTTTATTTGAATGTTAGTTATCTACACCATTCATGCATCAATTGGTGCATGTTGTTTACAGTGACAACTTAGTTGTGTTTTAGAAAATAGAAAATCTCCTTAAACCATTTTTACCCTTTATTAGAAGCACATCTCTAATAGAGCTGAAGAAAAATAAACAATTTTAAAAATACACTAAACTCTGTGAAGTGTTAAAGGGGAACCGGTACTATAAATAGGGGCAAGATGGTCACCGCAATTAGTATGCTAATCCGAACCAAGCCACTCACATCGTGGCGGGAGCTCCGTGAAATGTGCCATTTACGATGTTTAGAGATCAAGCTGTGATTCCAAATACATTTCTACGGTGGCATGAATATGTATGCTAGCGATTACACTCATCCGGTTTGGCTTTTGATGTATAAATGATGTTGTTTTTGATCGAAACGTGCCGCGACAAGTAAAAATCTTGAGTTTAAAATGGCGGCTAATGTATGCAAAATGCCTGTCAATCACAGTTTGAGTAAGCGAGCATAATAAGCATTCATTTACTTAATGGACAGAGGCGGAGTTATTACCCCTGAGCACGCGGTGCAATCCATGGGATTGAGCGGATCCCTTTTAATACTAACTTTAATACTAACACATTTGCTTCTAATAAAAAAAATTAGTCACATTGCTTGGGATACAGACAATGACTGGTATGCACTACATTTGTTATAAATTGCTATAGGGATTTGTTTTATACAACAGACTGAGCTGATGATTAAATCTTACCTGTCCACATCCAGGTTCAGTACATCTCTGTTGAACATTATCAACGTCCTCTAATGACGCAGCAGCCATCTCAACCTCTCCATCACCAGCTTCCGAGCTCACTGCCACTGCTGAGGCATCAGTTTCCATCGTCTGTAGAGTACGGACTTCATACGTGGCTTGCTCATTCTCGGTTGTAGCAGCCGTATTCTGGATATCGTCTTGGCTGATGATTACATGAGTGCCTTCGATGCCGGTATGCACAACTATGTTGGTAGGATGCAAGTTAGCCATATTTGACTGTAGTAGCGATGGTTCCATTGGGGCGGTCGTCAACGTGGTTGATGGGATTGTGTGCGTTTGGTCGGAGCAAGTGGATGTTATAATGGTTGTCGGCATGGTGTGCTCAGCCGGTTCAATGATATTAGCATGGTGCTGTAATGCAGCTGGTACGTATACCGGGTCATCGCTAGAGGCTTGCGTGTACACACCCTGCGATGTTTGAATAGTCGTCGCCTGAGATTCTTGTATATGCACCTGCGTTAGATCAAGTTCATTTTCATTCTGGCCAGCTTCAGCACTGGAAGCTTGAAGACTAGTGTCATGAATATCACCATCGGATCTTGCACCTTGTAATGTAGCTTGTGTCAGCATCTCTCCCTGTGTTATTTGGCCATTCAATACTTGGGTAAGCATGCTAGTATTGATATTACCCTGTTGTAGTTGCTGTAATAAGTGTGGATCTATCTGTACTGTAATATTGGGATCTAAGCTTTGTATTTGTACATTTTGACCATTGATGTTTGTAGTACTTAACTGCAGTTGCATCCCGTCAAGACCCTGTAGTACAGTAGCTGCCATACCACCCTCAGCAAGGGAAGTAAATGAATCAGTGGTTGCAATAGACGCTGGTAATACAGTAGCCTGTGATCCAAGAGCTTGCTGTAGCATTGACTGATCAATCTGCAGTTGGTTGACAAGTTGAGGTTGGCTAACAACAATAGCTTGTTGCTGCTCTGTATTCAGCAAGTTAATTGGTTGTAGCGGTTCTGTCGACGTTGTGGCACCAGCTGCAGCACGATTTGTAGTGGAAATCTTACGCTTCTTGGGTTCAGCAACCCTGAAATGAGACTGGATGTGACTCTTGCGATGACCTGATGTACGGAAGCGTTCTTCGCAATGAGGACATTTGAAAGGCTTGGCACCGGTGTGTAGGCGCATGTGCACCTTCAAGCTCCCCTTTGTGGAAAACGGGGAATGGCAAATATGACAATGGAAGTTCTTTTCACCAACATGGGTTTTCATATGGCAGTCTAAGGTGGATTTCACAGTAAAAGTTTTGCTACATAGCTCACATTTGAATGGTTTCTCACCTGTGTGTATTCTAATATGTCTCACCAAATCACTTGGTTTTTTGAAGCTTTTAGGGCACAAGTTACACCGATGTGCATGTTTTGGAAGATTATCATCCACCACCGTTTTGCTTTTTATCTCGCTCACACGAGTTTTCTCAGCGGCCGAGGCTATAAGAATCTTTTCGGAGATTGAGACATCCTCATTTGGTGTGGCCTTAGCTAGCTCTTCAGCTTGTGCCTCCGACAGCTGAATTATAGACGATCTTGGTCTTCTAACTGCGGGTTTACTTGTATCACTTTGTTCTCCATTTTCATCTCGGTGGCTTTTCATATGTCTCTTGCACTGTAGCGATGTGCGAAACGTTTCATGACAGTAAGGACACTTGAATGGACGGATGCTGCTGTGTATAATCATGTGTCTCGTCAGAGACCCATTAGTTGTAAAAGTTGACCCACATACCTGACATTTATAAGATTTCAATCCTGTGTGCGTTCGTGAATGGGCTTTGAGCACACCTGAAGATACAAATGATCTACCACACTGAAGACATTGGTAAGGTTTCTCTCCAGTGTGAGAACGAATATGTTGCTTCAGATGGCTGGACTTTTTAAATGCTTTTGAGCAGTAACCGCACTTGTAAGTGCGCTTACCTTCCACTGTCTCTTGTTGAATCACCGCTTGTCTGTCACGCTGCGCAGTAGACAGCTGCGGCTCTTGTAACTGGATTGACGTCACACCCTGCTGTTGAAAGTTATTCTGTTGGCTGGTGATGGCTTCCAACTGTTGCTGAATCTGTTGCGTGATCTGATTCTGTTGGCTAAAACTCTGCTGTGCGAAATTCTGCTGATTGAAATTTTGTTGCGAGAGTGACTGTTGGTTTAAGTTCTGCTGACTCAAAAGAGTCTGTTGATTGAAGTTCTGCTGATTTAAGGCCTCTGGTGTTAACTGATCTTGAGTCAACGTCTGCCCCGTCAAGCTATGTTGCGGCTGATTTAGTTGAGTTGGTTGTTGAAGATTAAGCATTTGCTGTTGATCTGATAATGGATCTTGAAGAGTCTGTTGTCCTGATGGTTGGGGATGAGGCTGGGTATCAATGGTAATCTCCTGCTGAGGTGCTTGTGGTTGCTGACCCGTTTGCTCCAGGTCATCCTGAACAGCTTGCATGGCTAGTTCATGCCTGTGTGTCTTCATGTGCTTCTTGCAATTCACAGAGGTTTTAAATGTTTTCTGGCAATAGGGGCACATGAAAGGGCGAACCTCGCTGTGAGTGGACATGTGTCGTTTTAAGCTACCATTGGTTGTGAACATACCATCACAGATCAAGCACTTGTATGACTTCACACCCGAATGTGTCCTCACATGGGCTTTTAGAACGCCACTGGACACAAAGCATCTGCCACATGTAATACATTTATAAGGCTTCTCCCCAGTGTGTGAGCGTGTGTGCTGCTTCAGATGACTGGACTTCTTGAAGCCTTTGGAGCAATACGAGCATTTGTAAGGTCTATCAACACTGCCACCCTGCTGAAGACCATTCCCCAGATACTGGTTATACATCTGACTATTCCTTGGAGGTTGCTGTATGAGGCCAGTGTCTGTAATAAGAATAGGTTCCTGCATTGGGATATCGGGCAGTTGTATATCCGATTTAGGAGTGCGAGATTTACCCATCTTGCGTGGTTTGCGTTGCGATGGTTCCTTGAAATGGGAAGATACATGACTCTTTCGATGCCCCGAGGTACGAAACATTTTATCACAGTGTGGACACTCAAAGGGCTTGACACCTGTGTGTAAACGCATGTGGACCTTCAGACTGCCCTGCGTGGAGAACATCTTTTCACAAACATGGCATTTGAACTCCTTCAATCCAGTATGTGTTTTAAGGTGGGCAGTCAGTGTACTCTTCACAGCAATGCACGATAGCATTGAGTACACTTGAAAGGTTTCTCGTGTGTATGTATTCGTATGTGCCGCACCAAATCGCTAGGTTTCCGAAACTCTTTATTACAATATGTACAGCAGTGCATGCGACCATTAGGTAGCTTTCGAATCCTCTTAATCACCATAACATCTGAGCGCGTTTTCTGTCCGCTAATGGCACTAGAAACTTGACCTGGTTGTACGTCAATGGGTACAGCGGTTAAACCGCTGTTTTCCAATGCCTGCTGCAAAATATCTGAACTTATATTTCCATCGATAGCGATCTGCTGAATCTGTTGGTGGGTCCCATCGGCATTCTCTGCGGACTGTTCCGAGAGCTCTAGCAACTGCTGTATGACATCAGTCACTGCTGTAGGGTTCTGGCCACTCGGGGTATCTCCGCCAGGCAGCTTAGATATATCAATTGAAGACTTGAGAGGGGAGATCATTTGAACTTGTGTCGGTGGGGATGTGTCAGCATGCATTCTGCTCATATGAGCATTCAGACTACCGAGCTTCTTGAAAACACAGCTACATTCATCGCACTCAAAGGTCTTCTCCAAAGCCTTGTTTTCTGTATGTACTCTGGCAACATGTGCACGCAAATTGCCCCTTTGTGAGAAGGCGGCCGGGCAGTAATCACACAAGTGTGGTTTCTCTCCTGTATGCTTTACCATGTGTACTTGTAATGCTCCTTTCTGATTAAATGCTTTTCCACAGTCATCGCATTTATATGGCCGCTCCCCTGGAATTTAACAAAACAGAAAATTAATTATACAACTTAATCTTAGACCTTTAAAATAGAGAATCTTAGGTAGAATATAAAATCTCAATATCATTGGTTAATAATAATCACATATAATTTTCTATTGTTGGAACATATGAATTGTAATCTATCTCAGAAAAGTCATTATGATAGAATGTTGAATTATGAATAACAATATTTAAACAATCAGACTCGCAGTTTTCATTGCCAAAATGGATAAAAATATTCACTTCAATAAGGGATGGTAATTTTGAAGAAAACAATTCTTCACAACAAAAATTTGTCAAAAAAATTATACAGAAAAAATTACAGAAAAACAAGTATTTTTATAAAAGAAAAATCCCACTTGATAGGGAGAAGCAAAAAAAAATATTAGCGTGAAAAAAACAAACAATCTAACTCAAACTACTAAGTTTAATGATTGGTGGCACACTACATTTAGCAGTTCAAACAAAAGATTTGAAAAGCACCGACATTGAGGGGGCTGTTGAACATTCACATTTTGTATTCTTTTTCCTTGACCTACATGTACAAACTTAGTAAAAACTACTGTAAAACACTTTTTGCTTGGAAATTATTTTTGCAATATTTGCTGATGGTTCAGTGAAAATATAAAATTGTACATTCAACTAGTCAAAAATCAATAAAAAAAATAAACTCCATACAAAACACTTAAAAAGTCTTTTCAGCGAAAATTAATAAAATAAAGTATTTTACAGTAAACTGTTTTGAAACAGTAATATGCATGTTCCGGTAAGTATGTATTATATGTACTTAGAATTGTATCAAGGCACTGGGTCGTACACCACCAAATGTAATCCTCTTGAAAACAACTTTTTCCAAGAGATGACATGATTGCATTTCAAACTGTTTTATTTTAAAACCAGAACAAGCAAGCCTTAGATGTGTGTATGGACTTTCAGTGAAAAACAACAGTTATTAAATGGTGGATTGATTTAGAGTAAGTCAAGATTTTGAATATTACCAATACCAGTGTAGTTGAATCAGCTTTGTTTTTTGGGATTATCGACATTATGGTAACGCTGATTACTATTTGATTAAAGTGAAAAAGTGAAAACCACTGAAATTTTATCATTGAGATTGCTATGGATGTTGTGAGAGTAGAATAACTAATTACTATGCCTCAAAATATTGTCGATTATCGACAGACACTGTCTACAGTCCTGACCATATTTACACCTGGAAATAATGTTAATATGTCTAGACTGTAGACTAGTCTGCTGGTAATTGACAATATTTATTTACGTACTGTAAAATATTTTACTTTAGTTGGAATTAATTTTCGCTAAAAAGATTTTTTGGATGTTTTGTATATGACAGCAATCTTAATGACAAAATCTTACTGGTTTTCACTGTAAATACTCATCAAATAACTCTCTTTAATAGACCATTTTCTGTTCACTGCAAGATCCTATGATATGCGTGAAATCGAACGTAAAAACAGGACAAACAAAGGTCGTAGCGTCGTCAAACCTCGCTTGAGATTTAACAAATGTAAAAGTATTCTAAGGGGTATATCCACACTAAAATAATGTGCTGTACACATTTGATGACGGTCAATTTCGATGAAGTAAGGGTATTCATATTCCCCTGTCAAAGATCTGTTCAATGTGAGCTACGAAATAAAGAAATTGGAGTTCAAAATCAAATCGTTTGATTTTTGCGGCAGACGTTTGGTGTGCTTCTTTCACGCAGTTCGCAAGATCTCGCAGTTGTACGAAAAATCACCTATTCCTTAACAAGTTGGGTACGTAGACTCATTTGTTCTATATTTATAATAACCCTTTTTTCCCAAGACTAGATATTATAGCAAATTGACTTGCAGATTGTAGTGCCTATAACCGGAAGAAATCTTGACGGACAAATTCACACAGATGCATGTAAGTTTTACATTTTTCATTTTACAACTAACTCACCAGTGTGAATCCGATTGTGTCTTTCAAGTTGGCTTGGCTTCTGAAATGTTTTACCACAGTGCATGCATTCATTGGAAAATGATGATCTATCAATATTCCGTTTCAGTGGTCTACTCATTAACAAATTGGATCTGTAAACAATGAACAAATATATAAATATATAACTCTGGATTCTTAAAAGCTCAAAAGAAAGGTGAATACATAAGTATGCTTTTGGTACTACCTTAACCAGTTCACTGTTTTTGTAATCTCCACAAAATAGTTTAATTTTATTGCTGCTCATTGTTGTCTAAACATCTTCCATAAAAAAAGTGATGCTAAATTGGGTCTGTTTGTTTTTTCTTAGAGGTGGGGGGGGGGGGGCACATAACACGATTGGCTGAAAAATGTCTTATTTACATGAATTATTCATGCGCAATTAATTTTTCCTTTTTTCATTAACTTTATTGATAGAGCCTTGGATTGACTGATTTTATTTTTACGAGTTGAAAAAATAACCAAAACACTCTTGTACTATTGCTTAAAATGTTTTCAATAAGTTTCACCAGTAGCAATTTGCTTAATTAATTTGCATTTCAATAAATTACTCTGATAAGTTTGAAATTGAAACATCAGGGATGTTGCCGTTTCAACGATGCCATGCTGTATATACATATGAAGAACTTGGAACTTCCATACAGGTTGGATAGCGCCCTCTAGTGTCAATCCTGACCCCCAGACATATGGTAGACAATAGACGCATGCCGTTTTGGGGTGTAATGTAAACTTGCACTCATAATATTGTGCTTCTGGGTATACCATTTTCCATCACAAAAATAAAATTCCCTTCTATCGATTATCAGCAAACTAACATGTTTTGTTGTTTTTTCAGCCTGACAAAGCAGGAGTATTTTTGCACCCCAGTCTCGCTACTTCCGGGAAAGTCGTCTATGTCACAGACAGGGGCGTATAATAAAACAGGTGATTAGGTAATCAGTTCTCAGTATGATTGAAACAATTTTATACCAAAGTGGAAACCTTTTGTTATGCAAAATTATATTAAAGTTAAATAATAATATTTGATTGAACAGGGTTCAGCCTTAGCAGACATACGTCGAAACCAGTAACAATTAGTACATCAAAAATTAGTTAGTTTTTTTACGAAACAAATATAATTCATCTTTGATGACAGCAGAGCTAAACTAAATTAATAATATCAGTTGTTCAATATTCAACTGGGAAAGCAGTATTATCTTTTGTGAACATGGAATAATTTTGAAAAGTAATCTAATGTTTGTTTAGTGTCTTGTTTGCTATTGGGATGAGATAAAATTAATCAACAAGATTAAATTTTTAGTGCTATTGGAATAAAATAAAATAAAATAAAATGATTCAACAAGATTATGTCTTGTTTGCTATTGGAATAAAATAAAATTAGCAAATTGTTTTTTTTTCACTTATGACATGTATAAAGTTTTCATCTGAACATTTATTTCCTAATATTGTAAACAAACAAACACACAGTCAGACACACGGTCAGACACACAGACAGATGGCCAGACAGGCCCATGAGGCCTGTACCTCATGAGAGTTAAAAAACAAACAAAAAAACACCAGTCAAAGACATGCATCTGTCTATACCCTTGTACAATTGAGGCAGGAGCGGATGACATTACATATCATTTTTTTTTTGAATAATATTATGACTAGCAATGATATTTACCTAATACCTAACCTTGCTAAATTCATTCACCATATACTACTAAAAGGCAGCATAATCTAAAATTTTGTATAGATTTACTCATTTGTTTGTTTGATCTTTTAGTTTACTTTCTCTGAGGTACATGATATAATTATTTTATTGACTTTTCAGTAAACAGATCTCACTCATCTAATAATACTGTTAAGTTTACTCCGTCATCTTTTTTTTTTACAAGAATTTTGAGAAAAAACAGTAACACAATGAAGGAGTATTTAAAGAGAGAATAAACCAGAATTAATTTTGCAAAAAACTGATAGCGGCAAATATTAAACAGTTTATAATAAATACATTATTTTTTATTTTAGAGTTGATGTAAAAAAACAGCCAAGAGGGAATATCAGGACTGCTCTGCGTATGCTGGTAATATGACGTTATTTGTAGGCCCAAATCAATCAAGAACTTCTGATTTTTGATCAAAATAATAATGAAGTCAGACAGTTATCTTTCAAGAGGTCATTGAAACTGAGGAACAATATGCAGCAAGGTCAACATATAGACAGTCGCGATGCAGACATACATGATTGAAAAAGGTTGAGCCATAAAGATATTAATATAGGCGAGGGTTATAACTCCACAACAGTGAGGTAATCCCGATGTGAACATTATTTGACTTGGATGCAAGTTATGTACAAATTGATTGGACCATGATTCGTGGCAATCTAACATATACCCAACAGTC